GCATATACAACATTGCTCTGTTTGTGCCGGGGCACCGGATCTTTGGGGTGAACCAGCCTTTGCCGTAATGTGTTTTGGGGTTTGAAAGCCACTGGTACATAATGTTTAGAAAATAAACGTCTCAGTTTCTCCGAAACACCCGCAACTTACGGAATAACCACTGGTTTGGGTCTGGGTTTGGGGTCTTCATTTTCACCTGAAGGTTGCATGGARTCCTGTCTGTGTTTCCTGTCTGCTTTCAGGAAAGCCCAGTCAGGATAACCAACGTTTCATTAGACAAGAACCCGTCCAGAAGACCTATACAATTTTTTTCTTTTTGATTTTTTACCTGGATTACTGAGATGCATCAGGACATCTTTACATAATGTAAAAGAATAATTGAAATTGGAACAAATAAACAGGTCTTCATGTAAAGACGTGTGATAGGGTGTGTAGGAGGAGACTTCAGTGGGGAAAGGAGAGGGGGCCGCACTAAGTCTGTATTTTCTAAATCGACTGCGGCAGCCTTTTGCAACGAGGCACCTCTTATAATAAAATCTTACAGTTTGGTCTCATGTGAAAACAACCTGTCACATAATGAAGTCACGCCTGCCATGAAAATGGGATAAAATGACAATTTTTGTCAACTAAAATGGTCAAATACACAAAAAAGCAGATAAGTCACTATGCAGAGTAGAGATTTGACTTGTGTGTATTCACAGTGGCTTTAGAGCAGCAGAGAACAGTGCTGTGTGCAAAAAATTAATGGAAATGATAAAAAAAACAGCATTTTTAGCTTGTATTGACAGACTTTCCCCTCTAGGGGGCGATCCAGTCCAGGGTTTTCCCTCAGAGCATCCTGATCTATTTTTAAACCCACAATCACTTGTAGGCTTTGTGATGTCTTTTAGGCCCTTTTGTAAAGAAAACAACCCAGAAACCCGATTTTATGAAGAAGTGAAGTCATGTATTATAAATAAACAATTTTTACAATAATTTCTATATAAAATCTGTTGACACATGGACCATATGTTAATATGCTAATGAATAAAAACAGTTTTAATGATTGTGAATGTGTTTGTCTGTTAGCAAAATATCTCATGATCCAGATGGTGACATTTTAATGAAACTTTCAGAAAATAATCATAGGATACGCATCCACAGCTGATTAATTTTTGGAGACCCCATTCAAGATGGCCGCCACATCTGATCAACCTTAGCAT